AGGAGAAGTAAGGAGATGAGGGGATATGAAAATAATTTAACAAAGCATAATGTAACTAGTTAAATGTCAACTATGTAACACAGACTTTGTAATTAAGTACTTATGCCTACATCAAGAATATCCTGGGAACTGAAAACAATGTAACATAATGGTCGATGGAGTCAGAAGTTACTATAAATCTTGTTCCAGATACATGTTAAGATGCTATTCGTGCAGCTGCACAACTCCGTTCTTGCTTCTTCTCATCTGTATTCTAATTTTTATAGACATCGCCTCTCTTTCTCTCTGACCAGCTGACTATAGGGGGTGGAACTTTCTTTGCTGCAACCTTTTTTTACAGCTGCCTTTGATCCTTCTGCTCCACAATGTCAGAAGGAATCTGAGCTCACCTTTCTCTAATCACCAGAGCTAAGGCAGCAAAACCTTCTGTCCCTGCACCTCACCATTAGCTTTTGCTGTGAAGAAAACAACCTTCCTCCTGCATGACTTCTCAGGTCATGAATGCCAGCTCCCTAACCATCTATCTTAGATTTTATAGGACATTTTTCCTTTTACAATGCATAAACCTTGGGCTATTTTTTTTTTAATTTGTTTATTTCTGTTTTGTTTGTTTGTATGTTTTTTCAATAAGGTGCTGTAAAAAAAAATCACATATGTCTACAAAAATGTTCAACCTATATCTTCACCACAGCTGTGCAAACTTTTTTTTGTACATGGATGATGTCAGAGATACAATGAATACTTAAGTACTTCTGTTGTCCTTTATAGGAATAATACCTAGAAATGTGAATGTAATTTCTTATTCATATATGCATTTTTTAATACCCTGAAACTGAACTTCTAGATTCTTCTCTAACTCTTCATGAAGGCTACAAGACAATTATTTTCTTACAAGATAGATTTCTTCTTATGTCTAGTTTACTGTAGGTGACAGTGACCTTAATGACTGTTAAACTACATCCAAAGTAAGAGGTTTTGGACTATATCTGAGCCCCAGAGGTTCCTTATCAGTAAAAACATAAGTGCTTGGTGCTTTGAGGGAGATACTACACACAAATCTGTTAGATAAGTAAGTAGTGCAGATAAGATTTCCATTCAATGTTAAACTGGTCACATATTTTACTAAAAGCTACCTTTATGGAACTAGCAGCTTGAAGAGGTACATTTGTATTTTTCCTTGAATGGAAGAATAAATTCATGGCCTCTTACAAATTTTGTTCTCTGTGTCCAAGTTAGTATCTCTCTGTATTTCTGAGAGAATCGTAATTCCTTGTTCATGGAAACAAAAGTAATGTAGAAATACCGCAAAATATTCCCAACATTAACTTTAAGCTTGTGCAGTTTCAACCACACTAACTGTCATGTAAATGTGACAGTTTTTAAGTGCTTATCAAAAGTAGCTTGCTTATGAGATACCAAAGCACTTGTCAATTTTTTACATTTGAACCAATACTTTCATAGAGTATAGCAAAAAAAAAAGTATATTTGTCTGCACTGATGGCAGAATTTATGGTTGAAGGATAAAAACTGTAATTATGATATCCAGTAAAGGCAGAAATTGCAGAACTCGCCATATTTGTGATCTGTATTTATTAACTGCTTATATATTTTCTAGATTCAGTCTTCAGCAGCTTATGTTTAGTTATCGTTAAAGGCATCTTGCTGTTTTTCCTTGCACAGAGTATATAGATTAATTGTGGCATAGCAGGTTTTTCACTCCTGTTTTGGTGTTATGTCCCTCTCTTACAGTATCAAGAGAACAGTCTTGCTCCAAAATCTGTTTTCAAGCTGCTCTTTACAACCAAAGCATAGTTAGATGGAGCTACTGCCTTAAAATGTTGTGTCATTAACTGACTGAGTGTAACTCTTGCATTTAATTGTGAGGTAGTTGTTCATTCATTGATTTTTGGGTTGGGTTTTTTTATCAGTAGGCATACTGATACATTTTTTGTAACTGAAAGTATCAATACTACCTCTCCTTTTGCCTAAAACCTCACATATCGTGTATAGATATGGTGGATAAATAAATATGCTTCTAGTCACACAGACACATAGCCAAGACTGAAGCACTCCTGTTAGGTTTGTGTTGTGAGGAAAGGGTTACAGCTTGGGAAACTGTTGAGAAGGATTGTAAATCACTCAAGTGACCTTGCAGTTGGAAATAACTCTTGATAAGCCTCTGAGAACCACAGTCCAGTGATCCTCTAGCATGAACAATCTCTGCTTGTGTGCCTCTGCCTGGCCGCTGCTCTGGGTATCCCCTCATTAGCAAGGTAAATGTAAATAAATTTATTGGTTTTGTTCTAACTGCAAGTTTGTAGCTGTTCTGGCTGCCTGCCTGTGTCAACTCACAATTTGAAACAACACCAATAACATCTTTAAAACTTAAGTAACTTTATAGAATTAAATAAGTATCTGTCCTGTCAGAAATGAGGCATATGTTATGCTTTATAAATACTTGAGTCAGGGTCCTCATGTTGAAGTATTTTAAATCCTTCATCTGTTTTTTTACTGCATGGATTTCAGGTGTTTGTGTATGTTGAATTGTGATGTTATTTGCCATGCAATCTCTAAAGTCCTGGCACAATTCTTCTGGCAGGGCACATCCTTACTGGCCTAACTTAGCATCAGCAGCAAAGTTGCGCATCTCAGTCTTCATAGTGTTCCCTTTTTTTCACAAGGTTACATTTAGGAATGTACTGGATAGCCCAGGTCCCAGCACTGATCTCTGCAGAATTGATGTGGCTAGTTTCCTCCATTCCAGGAGTTAACCATTAACTCATACTCCCTTCTCCAATTTCCTTCCCATCTGTTAATTTTTTATCAAACCTAAGAGTGAAGTTCTTATTTTAGGCTTAAGCCTTCTTTTATGGCTTAAGGTACTTTCAAAATAAGTCTGCTTCAGGAGATGTGGTGAGAAGCCTTTTGGAAATCCCATAGACTCTATTAACTAGATCGTCATTGCTTACTGATCATTTTTAAGGCTTTAAAAGCTTTTCCCTGTGATAATAAACAAAGCCAAAGTTTGCAGCACATTTTAAACATGTGCGGCAAGTACCAGGTGATTACTGTGTATGGTATGTAATCCAAAAAACAGTGTTTAGACACCTGGGTCACTAAGCTATGTTAATTACTCCTAATAAAAGGCTTTATGTCTTAACCAAGGCTTTACCATCTGGATTAATTCATTTTTCAAGGTATGTAATGATAACTGTGTGATAAATACATAGCTTAGGGACTGTAGGGGCTTTTATTATTTGGAGGTAATCTGTAAATATGTTATGAAAATGTGAGAAACACTTCAAATATATATCAACTTTGGTATCCAAACTAGTACAAACATAAACAGGACCACTTAACTAAGCATATGAAATAATTATTTTCCAGTGCCTTTTAACTCTAAGTGCATTTTGATCTACCCAAAATGGTACTGGTGATTATTTTTCTTAGGTCAGATTTCTTTTATGCAAGATATTAGGAAGACACTACTCTAAAGGTATTTTGGGAGGTAAGCTTAGAACTTATTTTTTTAAGAACACCATTTTTTTATTAAATTAAGGAATAACTCTTTATTTTTAACACATTTTATTTACTTTGCATTTGTACAGTTTGTTTCCAGAGTCCATGATTGGTAAATTTGAAGGTTTAATTAAAATTGATACCTTAAAAATGATCACTGTTTGGAATTTTAAACCTTGTAAAAGAAGAGACTGAAGCATACCATAGACAATTTGATAGGCCATACTGACAAGGTAAATAAAGCTCCTACTGCATTAATACTGTTTTGTACTTAGCTGCAGATTTTGTGGTGAATGTAGAAAGCCATTTGCAGAAGACAACGGTGCAGCACACCAGATTTCTTCTTCAGCTCCAGAACCTGAAAAACAATGGCAGAAGTGTTGATTTTTCAAACAGACTGCTCGGTGGCTTGGCTTTCCCTGTCACTGGGCCAGCTCTGTGCCAGGTGTCGCCCAAGCACCAGCCCACGCTGGGACTGAAGCGCAGCTCTGTTGGAGAAGGACCTTGGGATGCTGCAGGACAAGCAGCTGTCCATGAGCCAGCAGTGCCCCGTGGCCAAGAGGGTCAACAGGATTCTGCAGGGCATTAGGAACAACCTTGCCAGCAGGTCGAGGCAGGAGATCCTGCCCCTCTACTCAGCCCTGGCAGGGTCGCACCTGGAGTGCTGTGTCCAGTTCTGGGGTGCCCAGTACAGGAGAGACATGAAGCTTCTTAAGGGGAGGGCGACAAGGATGATGACGGGACTGAAGCATCTCTCTTACCAGGAAAGGCTGAGGAAATTGCACCTGTTCAGCCTCGAGAAGAGATGACTGAGAGGGGACTTTATCAATGTTTGTAACTACCTACATGGAAATATCAAGAGGATGGAGCCAGGCTTTCCTCAGTGGTGCCAAGCAACAGGACAAGAGGCAAAGGGCAGAAACAGATGCAAAGTAAGTTCCACCTGAATATGAAGAATACTTTTCTTTCTGTGCGAGTGACGACGCGTTGAACAGATAGTGGAATCTCCTTCACCAGAGATATTCAAGTGTATGGACGCAATCCTGCGCGATATGCTCTAGCACGACCCTCCCTGAGCAGCTGAGCAGGCAGGTTGGAATACCTGTCCCTCTGCGGTCCCTTATAACCTGACCCATTCTGTCATGCTTTGAATCACGGCGCCAAGCCCTCCTGCCAAGCCCGGCCGCGCCCCGCCGGCACCGCACCGCGATCTCGGGAAAGCTGCCCGCGCTCCCGGCCGGGGCGGTCCCGCCACTCCCGGCCGGAAGCTCCCGCCTCCCCGGGCGAAGGCCGTGGGCCGCCGCAGGTGAGGGCGCCGGGACCCCTCAGGTGTTGGGCGACTGCTCCCGGACCAGTGGGCGCTCTCCGCTCGACTCGTCCTTCTCCGGCGCCGGCTGCCCCTTGGGACCCCGCCGCAGTTCCCTCCCGTTGGTGAGGCGAGCGGCGCCGGGGAGCGCCCGGGGCCGGGCTGAGCGCCGGCCATGTCGCGGAGCTCGCAGGGCGGGCGACCCGGCAGGTCCCCGCTGCCCCGCGGGGCCAGCCCCGGGTCCGCCGCCGCCCCGCTGCCGCCGCCCCCGCTGCCGCTGCAGCCCCCCTTCGGCCCCGGCAGGGCCAGCCCGGGCCCCAGCGGGCCGGCAGAGCTCAAGCCGGTTCGGCGGTTCATTCCGGACTCGTGGAAGAACTTCTTCAAAGGGAGACGCCACCCCGGCTCCGGCTGGGATAGCACGGCCTCCGATATCAGGTACATATCGGACGGGGTCGAGTGCTCGCCGCCTGCCTCTCCCGCCCCCCTGCAACCGGGGACCAGGACGGTGCCTGGCTCCTACACCGACCCATTCGGGGGGTCGGGCGGGAGCTACAACTCTCGGAAGGAGGCCGAGGCCATGCTGCCCTCCGGAGAGCCCTCGGGCTCGCTGGAGCGCCGCGGCGGCACTGGGCAGACTTACAGCGAGCGAGTGGAGGAGTACCACCTGAGGTACGCCTACATGAAGTCCTGGGCAGGGCTGCTCAGGATCCTCGGCGTGGCCGAGCTGCTGCTTGGCGCCGCCGTGTTCGCCTGTGTCACCGCCTACGTACACAAGGACAACGAGTGGTACAACATGTTCGGGTACTCGCAGCCCTACGGATACGGGGCGGGCAGCGCCTACGGAGGATACTCCTACAGCGGGCCCAAAACGCCTTTCATCCTGGTGGTGGCGGGAATGGCGTGGATCGTCACCATAGTGCTGCTTGTGCTGGGCATGTCCATGTACTACCGAACTATCCTCCTCGATTCCAACTGGTGGCCTCTGACCGAGTTTGGGATCAATGTGGCCTTGTTCATCCTGTACATGTCGGCTGCCATAGTATATGTAAACGATACCAACCGAGGTGGGCTCTGCTATTACCAGTTGTTTAAGACACCGATAAATGCGGCTTTTTGCCGTGTGGAGGGCGGTCAGACTGCGGCGATCATCTTCTTGTTTGTCACGGTGATCCTCTATCTAATTAGTGCGGTGGTTTGCCTAAAGTTGTGGAGGCACGAAGGGGCCAGGAGGCACAGGGAATTAATGGAACAGGAGGTAAGTCATTAGTTATCATTTTCTATCTACCGGTTACCACATGATGGTGAGCAGCTGTAAGGTCTTACCGTGGCATAGACGATGTCAAATGAAGTGTCTTCTCTACAGCAGATCTGTAGTCCTGAGGTTGAAAAGGCGTTTTTAAGGTGTCAGAAACAAAGTCTTGGGCATGGTTTTTTTTCTTGTTCTTTTTAATGTTTATAATTCACCTTGAGTAAGGACCTGGCTCTGTTCTCTTCATAATACTGGGCTCTGTTCTTGAGTCAGGTGATGAACTACTTCCTAGTGTGTATTTTCCAAACAAAGGAAGAAACGAACAATGTTCATCTGTTCAGCAGGGTTAGGTGGCTTAAAGCCACCTAGCATTTACTCAAAATCTGTGCGTTCAGCACATCAAGTGCTAGTGTGAATAAACCTAAGAATGTGAAATACTTATTTTTACTTTGCAAGCAAATCTCCAAACAACTTCTTAATGCCTTTTCAGCTTTCTTCACTATAGTTATCAGCAAATATTTGTAGTAACAGCCTTGGCTAGATTTTGATGTCTCAAATTTTAGTCAGCCACCTCTTTTTCACGTCAAATATTTTGCCTGACTACTGTCCTTGCCCATACTAGAAGCATTCAGTATTTGTCTGGTTAATGATAAACTATAATAGAGATTTAACACTCTTACCTAGAGAGTTCAAAGTAATTTGTGTAAAACTTCCTTCATTTGAAAACATCGCCAAAAGACCCTTTAAAAATGAGTAAGACTTAATATAGCATGAAAATTAATGCATGTGAAACGTACATAAGCCTAAATTAAGGAGGGGTCCGCCTTTAAGGAATTTTAGAAGAAGAGCATTTAAAGCTGCATATCCTCTGCTTTCTGACTGCAGTCTGATTTACAGCATTTTTATTTAACACTGGTTTCCAGTTCAACATCTTGCATAAAATTGAGACTTTTCTTTTGAAAACTAGTTATAATTCTTCAATAAAAGCTTTTTAACTAACTGATAGTGTGTCCTGCAAGAGTGAGGGGATTGCCAGAGTTGTACACAAGGTGTTCATTCTTCCTTGTTGCTATCCAAGTTCTTTTAGTCCACTGACTAAACATTTCTAAAGGGAGTACTTTAATAATAGAGGTTAGAGACTGGACAGTGCTGTGCAAAACAGCTGCAGGTTGAGCTACTGATTAGTGCACTGTTGTGTGTTCTAGGCAATGAATTAGGCTCAGCCTGTTAGTGAGTTAACGTGGGCTGGAATGTGAAACAATAATAAAGGAGCTTGAGAAGTGGATGGAGTATTTCCTGCAAGCTGTTCCTTACAGCTGTGCTCTGGGAAACCCTGTTGTTCTGGGGTTTGGGTGGTTGTTTTCCTTAAACAAGTCTTTAAATAGCGGATCTGAAAATACTTCTTATGCTACATTTCATCATACCTAAGTGTAAATGTAATTTTCTGTATAGTATGTTTTTGAAAGTGTTTAAATTTTAGGAGTCTGTGCTTTTCCATACTATTTTTGCTGAAAATAAAACTTTGTTCTTTCTTTTTTTTTTTTTTTTGATAGATGAAAACGCAATCCTCTTTTCCAGAAAAGAAGGTAGGAAATAGGAATTTGTTTTTCTGTTTACTGGTAATTCTAAATTATTATTATTTTCCTTGTGACTATTTTAATTAATTAATTTATTTGTTTATTTGACCTCAAAGAGATTATGTTTCGTTTTTTAAGCTAGTTTGGACAGCAGTCTCCTGCCTAGAAGATTCAAAAGGAGCTTGTAACAAACTTACTCCTTGTTAGGCTAGTTTATAAAATCTACAAAATTGTAAAATAGCAGATGTGATGGCTGCCTCTCCGTGTGCTCTTACCCTTTTCTCTGAGGTGACAAGTTCTGTAGCATTTATCACAGAGTTTGTAGACATGACTAAAACAGCAGGTCATCTGATGCATGATAGGTTTGAGTCTCTCTTTATTCCTGGCTGTGCGCTTAATTTTCAGGAGAGCCAGTGGAAGCACAGAGTAGGTGCCCTGTGAGTTGAGCTTCTTTCTTTGTCTCTGAGACTGCTCCAAAGACCCCCTTGCCAGTTAATGCCTCAGCAGCGTTAGTGTTTCAGCCACACAAGGTGTCATTGCATACACTGCAAAGATAGTATGGGCTTTCCAGAGAAATTACGACATTAATTTGACCCTTAAATGTCTCCTGAGAGACACTGTGAATTTCCTACCACCGTTTTCTCTGTTGATTCAGTAGTGGATCAAAATCCTTTTGTTTATGTTCTAAGATTTCACATTTTTTTTATTTCTGGATCAAGGGATGAATTGTACAATAGGAATCAAGGAGAAAAGGGAACTCTAAAGAACTGAATGATTCCAGTTCATTCACAAATTAAATGAATACTGAAGGAAACTTCCTCGCAATATTTTTTTAAACATGCAAACAATTCTTTCCAAAGCTGCAGAAGTATTTATCTGTACTGCTGTTAGGACAAACTTAAGAAGAATACTGTGTGAGAAACATTATTGTAAGTCAATAAACTGATTTTCTAATTACAATAAGTGTTGTAGAAAATATCTGTGATTTGCTTCTACTGCTGCTCAATACATGCATCTCTGTCTTAAGGTGTATTTTGTGATTTATGTAAAACTGATTTCATTAAGAACAAATTTTCTCTTTTAAAACAGTGTGAAGGTGATGACAGACCAAGGGAAGAAGTCAGTTACAGGCAGCTCAAATCACTGGAAAGAAAACCAGAGCTACTTAATGGTCATATACCTGCAGGCCACATTCCTAAACCTATAGTGATGCCAGACTACTTAGCGTAAGTGACTTGATTTTGATGGGCCAACTTAGTGGAGGATACTTGAATCATGTTTTTCACTCTGCATTTCTCCAATGGTTTCTCTCCCATGCACATGCTATGGGAACTCGTAATTGTGTGTTAAGTTAACATTAAAAAGCAGAGAGGATGGGGCTGGTATCAGTGGCATAAGTCAAGTAACTATAAATAAGGATTCTTAATTTAAAAAAATAAACCCCCACAAACCTCAAATGTTGAAAAAGAACATCATAATCTAGCAAGTACGTTAACTGCCAAAGGAAGAGAAGACCATTACATAGATATTAGAGGAAAAAAACTAAAATACATGGGAAATTGCCTTTTTAGGGCCAGAACTTTGACTACTCTTGCACTTTCTAATGCTGCATCTGTAACATGCTCCCTTAATTGGAAAGGGTAGGCCTTTCCAATTAATAAATTAGTTTTTATACTGTTTGCTATGGGCACAAGTAGAAACAAGGGAGGTTGCACCTGAATATTAGGAAAATATTTTTTTCTTTGAGGGTTGGCACAGGTTTCCCAGAGAGACTGAGTCTCCATGCTTGGAGATATCAAAGCTGTATGGCCATAGTCCTGGTCTAAGTGTTCCTATTTGTGCAGGAGGTCAGATCAGATAACCTCCAGACATCTCCTATAACCTCAATTATATTGTGATTCTCTGATTTCAGTGCTTTACAGACATGCAAATTTCAGCAGCTTATGAGATTTGCAAAAAATGCAGAAATACTCTGTCAAGGTGAAGAGTCTAAATGTTGTTAGTAAGCTGTATCTCTAAAACTAATTCTTAATTATTTTTCTTTTCAGGAAATACCCTGTAATTCAAACAAATGAAATGAGAGACCGGTACAAAGCAGTATTCAATGATCAGTTTGCTGAGTATAAAGAACTGTCTATGGAAGTTAATGCTGTATTAAGAAAGTTTGATGAGCTGGATGCATTGCTGAAACAGCTTCCACACCATCCTGAAAGCATATATGTAAGTACTTGTGAAATGGGCTCATGAAAAATAGCTGTATTAGGTGGTATTAGACAGGTTTTGACTGTCTGTAGCTAGAGCACAATGTCTTACAATAGTTAAGAACTGTACATGATTTTCTGGGGGTTTTAGTTTCTTTGTTTCATACTAGTAGCTTTTAAGTTCTAGTGAGTCACAGTTGATGTATTTTCATTATTTCTCAAATAAAAGATTTACATCTAAAATGTTATAACCACAAGGTATTGATCAAATGAGAATTCTGATGAGTGTTTTGTAGTATTTACATGCATATATGGAGCACACTCAAAGTTTAAAAATCTGTGGTTTCTCATTAGGAACAGGAAAGGATATTAAAAGTTCTGCAGGAATACAAGAAGAAGAAAAACGTAAGTGTTTTAAATTTACATTGCTATTGAATCTAATGACTAGCAAAGAGAGTGTAAACAGACAATACTTCTGATGCTGGGCAGATTTCAGTATCTCAGGGTACCTGTAGTGTTTTGCATATTTTGTCTTCTAAAACTTCAGCAAAGCTATGGGACAACCAGTACACTCATGGCAAAAGCATTTTTGAGAGTAATGATTCCAGTAGCCACATGTGGGGAAAAACCCATCCCAACAGTTGAGCATTTTCATCTTCTAAGAGTATGTTTAATCACTGAGCATTCTGCATTCAGTTATGTTCACTCACTGACACAGCCAACGGATAAAAACAGAAAACATAGTCTTACATTTGAAAAGATATTTTTGTATGTTTTTGAGGCATGGAATTAGACACTCTAAAAAAGTAATTACACCTCTTGGAAGAGGTTTCTCTTTGTAATTTTTAAATGCAGACAGCAAATATGTATCTGTGTTCCATTAAAAACATTATGCATTACAAATACAATTTTTTTTCCCATGAGATTCAGAGTTTATGTCCATGTTAGTTAAGCTTCATTATTTTTTGAGGGGGAAGGATGTATTGCACGTACAACAAATACATGTGTAAAATCTAAATTACGTAGTAGGATGTCATTTATATTTGCAAATATCTGCTTTAAAACAGCTCTATTTACTAAGAGAGCTGCCACAGCATATAAAGGCAGAACATTTTCTTCTGGCCTTTCATGAAGGAAGGGGAAACAGGAAATAAGAAAGGGCTAGGGGAAAAGAGTGTGATTTTTTTGAGAATTTTTACATACTGTCCTTTTAGTCAAGAAGATAATTGATAATTGACTATTCTTGGAAGAGTCTGAAAGCCTAATATATACTAATGTATAGGTTTTTGTATTTTTGGTAGGATCCTGCATTTCTGGAGAAAAAGGAGCGTTGTGAATATCTGAAGAATAAGCTTTCTCACATAAAACAACGAATTCAGGACTATGATAAAGTTATGAATTGGAATGTAGAAACCTAGTAATGACTTCATGGATACTATTTTCTGGTTTTAAAATTGATATGTGTATTTTAAGCTATTTATTTACTCTTTAAACAGTACACTTATGGGGATTACTTAATCACTGTCATATGTTTGGATGTTGTACATTACTGATAGTTTTGTATGCAGATCCAATTGTAATTGAAGTTATGACATAAGTTAGGAAACTGCTGCTAACATTATGCTTTCATTAGTGCAAATCCTGGCCTCTTAAATATGAATACTTTATTTGAAAATACTTCATTTGCAAACTTGCAAGGCCTACCAGAGAAAGCAGTTTCCATATACCTTGTGGAAACTTTGCACAGAAATGCTGTTAACAATTTTGGATTTTATTTATATGTGACGTCTTAATAATATCAGAAAGAACTGAGCTTATCTTTCTGTGTGGGGTCTGATGCATTGTCTGATTCTGTTGAATATTTTGAGCAATTCAGAAGCTAGTTTAATACGAATTTTTGTATTGTATTTCCAAATGCTGTAAATTATACCAGAAATCATCTTGAATTTTGCCTAACAAGTGAGGAAAAATAGCTTCTTATTTTTGTATTGCCCTCTTCAGAGATGACGCAACAAATCTATACTTGGCCTTAATGGTACAGGACGAGGCATATTTAATGTCTCATTAGTGTTGCTATAGGTCAGTGTGCTCTGCCTGCCTTCTGGATCATGCTGTTCGGGGTAAATGTGTTTAAGGGCTTCACTCTTCATCAGCAAGTAACAGGACTTCTTGTCTGTACAGCAGCTGCTAATGAACTTGGCATTCAGAGAGCAAGTACAGCAGAATGAATTCTCATTCAAAGTAATAAATTGTTAGTATCTTCTTTAAGGCCAGATGAAATCTATTAAAAGACATACTTTCCAGAGCATATTTGCATAAATTCTATATATATTTTTATATTTTCTTGGGGATATTATGCTCGCAATAGGTTTGTATGTGCAAGTATTTTCATAAGCCAGTAAATTTTCTCTTTGCCTCCTTTTTCATATCTTTATTTACTTTAACTTTTTTACCTACTATAATTGTTAGAAGCATTGATAGTTTTTGTACAGTTTTCTACAACTGCAATTTGTCTGTTCTGAAATATGTTTTTTAATATTAAAAAAACCCCACCAGTGTAGCCATATTACTCTATAGCTTATAAAGATATTTTGTTTGAAAAAGGTGCTCTGATTACAGTTACTGCAAATTTTTGTTAGTGATTTGGTTTTTTTCTTTGAAAGTTTAAATTCTGCCTTAATTTTAAGGAACAACATCAGGAAAGCCATTTCCAGTTTAGTGTGATCATGGTAGTACTACCTCTGCTCTTCACTGCTGGAAATATATTAACATACCTCACTCTGACCATTGGAGCCCTGCTGGTTTTTCAACCCTTATCATTGATGCTGCAATCCTGATGGCCATGCACCCACCTTCATACTTGTAAAATTGACATTCAAATTTTATCAGCCATTTAATTCCAAGAGCTTTAGTGGATGAAGTAAATAGCACAAGATGCCATGAGAACACTCAGAGAATTTGAAAATTTGGCACCTCTTAATTTCAAAGCTTTCAGTCTCATCTGGAAGGTGCCTCAGTATTTTCATCATTCTGAGAACAGGTGACAGCCAGTGCAATGCCTTGTTCTCTCTCTTCAGTGCCTTTCTCTCTGGTTCTGGTTTGTATTCATTGCAAAGGAAAAACCTCTCTTCCTTATAAAGGAGATGGGCCAATTTTTTATACTGGTTGTGCTGAATGTGTTAAATTGTTCTTTGTAAGAGAAGTACTTGTCTAAATCTCTACAATCTAAATAAATTACCTGTCACACCCAGGTTTCTTGTTTTTTTCTCAGTGAGAGTTCTGGACATTGCATCAATAACAGGAGAAGATTAGCACAGGTTTGAGGATCAACTGGTGCTGCTAAAGTTCTAACAATAACATAACTGATGTTTTCTTTGGAAGATTCACAGTCTGCACACTTAATAGGTCTTCTTTCTGTAGCACCAAGCTTCTTTTGACAGTGGTGTGAGTTTTAATCTTTGAGAAACTGGCTCCTGGTCTCTCAGACAGTGTCTGCATAGCCTGTGGAGAACCATCGTTCTGCTTCTTTCTTACAAAGTTTCCAACAAATGGATTGGGAAAAGGTGATAGCATACCTGTGTCAGGAATAAGGAGATTAAGCAGCAACATCTGTATGTGGATTCTCATGTTTCCCAGCAAGATGCCATAGGTGTGGCTAAGTAGATTTTCCAAAGGTTGGAAAGAGAAGCTGGGAGAGGTATATTCCCTTCTGCCTGCCTTTTGGATTTCAAACAGAATTGATGGAGGGCACGACAGAAGCAAGCTACCATCCTAAGGTACACAGGCCATCCTAAGGCTGCAGCAACGTGTTGCAATCATTACAGTAAATGACTTGCTCAGTCCTGTGTCTTGTTTCAGGGCTGCTGAGGCACCTCTGGTGGGTACAATCTGTGCACTTGTTTTGCTTTAACCTACCAATGGACAGCTGAAAAGGGTCTCGTCTACAATGCTACAGCCACGCTGGAGAAAAACTGTTACTCTAAGATTAGTCTAACATGTTCATCTCTCAGAGAAATTGAGATGAACTAAATAAGAATTAATGGCTGGAAGCTGAAGGAACTTGAAGCAAGGCAGAAACTAGGAGGAAAGTGATGGGAGAGTCCCTCAATCTGAGTTACTATAAGAACTATCAAGGAAAGTGGCTTCTTGATATTAAAGAATAGAACGCATACTCCAGACAAAACTGGAGTTTTGGATTATTCTCACCTCAATCTCTCTGTGCAGTCCCTCTAGGCTCAGCTCTGAACCTACATTTTTGCATGTATGTGTAAATGATGTGCTGTGTGGTCTTATGCGTGTGTCTGGGTTTTTGCAGAAGGTAGTTAACAAATTAATCACCAAGGAATACTGCCTTACATCAGTGGGCTTGCTTTTAATTACAGCCTGTCCTCAAACCCTGAGTGTATATAACAAGAAGTTTTATCATTCAGCTTTCCTCTTAGAAAACACTTACCTGGCTTCACAGATCTACAAATTGAGATGCTCAAGATTCTTAGTGTTTCTACAAATACCATAGTTTCTAAACTGTATTTGTGTTTCTTCTTGTCTTTGTAAGTCGTTGATCAAGACAAATGTGGCAAGATTGGCATACTTTTTACTAAACTGTACATTTTTTCAGGCCACATAAAGTAATGACTAACAAACATACCCAAAATTTTGTCTTGTCTAACAGCCTGACCAGCTTTCATGCCAGCACAGTGACTACAAACGCTCATGGCAATGAAAAACCTAACTGCTTTGAAATTGTAAGGGAAGGTGTCCAATATGTTATATGTCCTCTCTTTCTGTTATAATTATACACTTCTCCTGATAAATGCAATAAGCTGAAGGGTACAGAAATTGTAAATCTTGCCCCAGTCTCGCTTCAAGGATTGTTACTACTGTTTACATGTTTCTTCCTCATGTATTGTCTTGCTTGGATGCAGAGTGAGGCTCCTTAGAAACGGATGTTCAGTAACTTTCCTGCAATTCAAGAGCTGAAGCCCGGTCTTGGCATACTTCCACGTATCCAGTAAAGTTTTAATTGCTCTGCAGAGCAATCAGCAATTAGCCCAGCTAGCTCTGAGCTAATCCTCACTGTGGTGCTTATGAAATGGAAACTCTTGGTGATGTGACATGAATACTCAGAAATATTTTAGTTAGATGGAAAACATGATTACTTAACATCAAAATACCTGAAACTTCTTGCTCTTGCTGATGGGGTGATAGATGGCTGCCTTTATTAACCGGTGTGTGAGCACAATCATGTGTTAAAATCCAGTGCTTTTTCCAGGCTCCTGCATTCTTCCATTAATTACTGAAATGTCTTCGGTTAATTGCAGAAGTGCCACCGACACCCATGCAGTACCGTGAGCCTGGCGGCTGAGCCCGGGCACACGAGCGAGGCGCTCCTCACGGGGATCCGCGCCATGTCTCCGTCAGGCGTCTTCCCTAGGTGCTCGTTCTCTCCATGACCGCATTCGGAGGATTTTGATGATGCTGTGGAAAACACAACGGAACCTTCCCGGAACGGTCGCTCCGCGGCCCGGGCGGCGGCCGGGACGGTTTGGCGGCGCACCGAGGCGGAAGAGGGCGGACACCAACGTCTCGGGGACGGCGGGGCCTGGCAGCGAGCGCGGGTCTGGCTCCTCTCCGTGTGCCGCGGCGCTACTCAGCCTTCCTCGGCTGCCCTTGAGCCCCTTCGGCCCTTCTCATCCCCCTCAGTGTCCCTCGGTTCCTCTCAGACCCCCTCTCACCCCCCTCTTCTTCCCGCAGTCCCCCTCGTCTCCCCTGAACTCTCTCATCTCCCCGGAGCTCCCCTGATATTCCCTCAGCGCCCTGCATCTCCCCTCGTCTCCCCTCAGCTGCCGCGGAGATGGATGACGAACCCGAGCGGACCAAGCGCTGGGAAGGAGGCTACGAAAGAACATGGTGTGTTCTTCCCCCCTCACCTCTCTCCTTTCTGGCGAAAGAGGAGGAAAAGCCTCCCCTCTGCCCACTGTAACAGTCTGTTCTGTCTAGGGAAATTCTTAAGGAAGACGAATCCGGGTCTTTGAAGGCAACCATCGAGGACATTCTCTTCAAGGCGAAGAGGAAAAGGTACGTGGTGTGGCTACGAGCCTGCTAACAGCACTGATTTGGTCAGTTAGAAGGGCTTGATCATCCCGAAACTGGTTCCTGTGGGATAAATTAACCATAAGGCATGCCTGCAGGATGTCTTTATGGTCCTTTTCCTTCAGAGGGGCAGGTGCATGCCAGGAAAAATGATGAAAAATTAATTTTTATCTTTTAACACTGAATGTATACAGGCTGTGTATCCCATGTGTATGCAAGCTACAGGTCTTGATCTGATGAAAAGCTGCAGAGCACTGCAGCTGCAATCTGCGCAATTTAGAGGAATCTTCCATCAGTGGTTTTTTTTTTGTTTAGTATACAAATCAGAGAATCACAGGATAGTTTAGGTTGAAAGGGACCTTAAAGATCTCCTTAAAGGTCTCACTCCAACCTGCCATGGGCTGGGACTCCTTTCTTTGGACAGATTGGTCAGAGCCCCATCCAAACTGGCCTTGAGCTCTCCCAGGGATGGGGCATCCGCAGCTTCTCAAGGCAACCTCCTCCAGTGCCTCACTACCCTCGTGGTAGAAACATGTTTATCTCCAATCTAAATCAACCCTCTTTTAGTTAAAAACATTGCCCCTTCTCCTGTCACAGCAGAATCTACTTCTGGTATCACAGCTACAGATTTCTGTTTCAAATTTCAGAAAAATGGCTAGAAGAAAATCCTAAGTTTTATGTTATTTCAAGTTATGCTAGAACTTGATTTGTCAAGTTTGGATAAAATTTTAAAGCTTCATTAAACCTGGTAGTAAGAAATAGTTCTTATTTATTCTCTGAGAGTTGTGAAATCTGTGATTGATCTGTGGGGTTTTTCAGCATGAATAACTGTCTGCAGTTTGTTGCTTCTACATTTTAGCTAGAAGTCTAGTATTGGATTTGTT